AAGGGAAAAGGCTAACATCTTAAGTTTAATTTTTTAAATTTTTATATCATTGAACTCAGAATTAAATTTCCTATCTAAATATGCTTTGATGTATTTTTTTACGATATCGGTTCAAAAAATAAATTTTAAAAATTTTTTTGTGGTAAAAACGTTGGAAGGGAAAAGGCTAACATCTTATATGCAATTTTGAATATTTTTATATCATTCTACTCAGAATTAAATTTCCTATCCAATTATGCTTAGATGTATTTTTTTACGTTTCCGGTTCAAAAAATAACATTTTTGTCGCGAAAACGTTCGAAGGGAAAAGGCTAACATCTTAAGTTTAATTTTTTAAATTTTTATATCATTGAACTCAGAATTAAATTTCCTATCTAAATATGCTTTGATGTATTTTTTTACGATATCGGTTCAAAAAATAAATTTTAAAAATTTTTTTGTGGTAAAAACGTTGGAAGGGAAAAGGCTAACATCTTATATGCAATTTTGAATATTTTTATATCATTCTACTCAGAATTAAATTTCCTATCCAATTATGCTTAGATGTATTTTTTTACGTTTCCGGTTCAAAAAATAACATTTTTGTCGCGAAAACGTTCGAAGGGAAAAGGCTAACATCTTAAGTTTAATTTTTTAAATTTTTATATCATTGAACTCAGAATTAAATTTCCTATCTAAATATGCTTTGATGTATTTTTTTACGATATCGGTTCAAAAAATAAATTTTAAAAATTTTTTTGTGGTAAAAACGTTGGAAGGGAAAAGGCTAACATCTTATATGCAATTTTGAATATTTTTATATCATTCTACTCAGAATTAAATTTCCTATCCAATTATGCTTAGATGTATTTTTTTACGTTTCCGGTTCAAAAAATAACATTTTTGTCGCGAAAACGTTCGAAGGGAAAAGGCTAACATCTTAAGTTTAATTTTTTAAATTTTTATATCATTGAAATCAGAATTAAATTTCCTATCTAAATATGCTTTGATGTATTTTTTTACGATATCGGTTCAAAAAATAAATTTTAAAAATTTTTTTGTGGTAAAAACGTTGGAAGGGAAAAGGCTAACATCTTATATGCAATTTTGAATATTTTTATATCATTCTACTCAGAATTAAATTTCCTATCCAATTATGCTTAGATGTATTTTTTTACGTTTCCGGTTCAAAAAATAACATTTTTGTCGCGAAAACGTTCGAAGGGAAAAGGCTAACATCTTAAGTTTAATTTTTTAAATTTTTATATCATTGAACTCAGAATTAAATTTCCTATCTAAATATGCTTTGATGTATTTTTTTACGATATCGGTTCAAAAAATAAATTTTAAAAATTTTTTTGTGGTAAAAACGTTGGAAGGGAAAAGGCTAACATCTTATATGCAATTTTGAATATTTTTATATCATTCTACTCAGAATTAAATTTCCTATCCAATTATGCTTAGATGTATTTTTTTACGTTTCCGGTTCAAAAAATAACATTTTTGTCGCGAAAACGTTCGAAGGGAAAAGGCTAACATCTTAAGTTTAATTTTTTAAATTTTTATATCATTGAACTCAGAATTAAATTTCCTATCTAAATATGCTTTGATGTATTTTTTTACGATATCGGTTCAAAAAATAAATTTTAAAAATTTTTTTGTGGTAAAAACGTTGGAAGGGAAAAGGCTAACATCTTATATGCAATTTTGAATATTTTTATATCATTCTACTCAGAATTAAATTTCCTATCCAATTATGCTTAGATGTATTTTTTTACGTTTCCGGTTCAAAAAATAACATTTTTGTCGCGAAAACGTTCGAAGGGAAAAGGCTAACATCTTAAGTTTAATTTTTTAAATTTTTATATCATTGAACTCAGAATTAAATTTCCTATCTAAATATGCTTTGATGTATTTTTTTACGATATCGGTTCAAAAAATAAATTTTAAAAATTTTTTTGTGGTAAAAACGTTGGAAGGGAAAAGGCTAACATCTTATATGCAATTTTGAATATTTTTATATCATTCTACTCAGAATTAAATTTCCTATCCAATTATGCTTAGATGTATTTTTTTACGTTTCCGGTTCAAAAAATAACATTTTTGTCGCGAAAACGTTCGAAGGGAAAAGGCTAACATCTTAAGTTTAATTTTTTAAATTTTTATATCATTGAACTCAGAATTAAATTTCCTATCTAAATATGCTTTGATGTATTTTTTTACGATATCGGTTCAAAAAATAAATTTTAAAAATTTTTTTGTGGTAAAAACGTTGGAAGGGAAAAGGCTAACATCTTATATGCAATTTTGAATATTTTTATATCATTCTACTCAGAATTAAATTTCCTATCCAATTATGCTTAGATGTATTTTTTTACGTTTCCGGTTCAAAAAATAACATTTTTGTCGCGAAAACGTTCGAAGGGAAAAGGCTAACATCTTAAGTTTAATTTTTTAAATTTTTATATCATTGAAATCAGAATTAAATTTCCTATCTAAATATGCTTTGATGTATTTTTTTACGATATCGGTTCAAAAAATAAATTTTAAAAATTTTTTTGTGGTAAAAACGTTGGAAGGGAAAAGGCTAACATCTTATATGCAATTTTGAATATTTTTATATCATTCTACTCAGAATTAAATTTCCTATCCAATTATGCTTAGATGTATTTTTTTACGTTTCCGGTTCAAAAAATAACATTTTTGTCGCGAAAACGTTCGAAGGGAAAAGGCTAACATCTTAAGTTTAATTTTTTAAATTTTTATATCATTGAACTCAGAATTAAATTTCCTATCTAAATATGCTTTGATGTATTTTTTTACGATATCGGTTCAAAAAATAAATTTTAAAAATTTTTTTGTGGTAAAAACGTTGGAAGGGAAAAGGCTAACATCTTATATGCAATTTTGAATATTTTTATATCATTCTACTCAGAATTAAATTTCCTATCCAATTATGCTTAGATGTATTTTTTTACGTTTCCGGTTCAAAAAATAACATTTTTGTCGCGAAAACGTTCGAAGGGAAAAGGCTAACATCTTAAGTTTAATTTTTTAAATTTTTATATCATTGAACTCAGAATTAAATTTCCTATCTAAATATGCTTTGATGTATTTTTTTACGATATCGGTTCAAAAAATAAATTTTAAAAATTTTTTTGTGGTAAAAACGTTGGAAGGGAAAAGGCTAACATCTTATATGCAATTTTGAATATTTTTATATCATTCTACTCAGAATTAAATTTCCTATCCAATTATGCTTAGATGTATTTTTTTACGTTTCCGGTTCAAAAAATAACATTTTTGTCGCGAAAACGTTCGAAGGGAAAAGGCTAACATCTTAAGTTTAATTTTTTAAATTTTTATATCATTGAACTCAGAATTAAATTTCCTATCTAAATATGCTTTGATGTATTTTTTTACGATATCGGTTCAAAAAATAAATTTTAAAAATTTTTTTGTGGTAAAAACGTTGGAAGGGAAAAGGCTAACATCTTATATGCAATTTTGAATATTTTTATATCATTCTACTCATAATTAAATTTCCTATCCAATTATGCTTAGATGTATTTTTTTACGTTTCCGGTTCAAAAAATAACATTTTTGTCGCGAAAACGTTCGAAGGGAAAAGGCTAACATCTTAAGTTTAATTTTTTAAATTTTTATATCATTGAACTCAGAATTAAATTTCCTATCTAAATATGCTTTGATGTATTTTTTTACGATATCGGTTCAAAAAATAAATTTTAAAAATTTTTTTGTGGTATAAACGTTGGAAGGGAAAAGGCTAACATCTTATATGCAATTTTGAATATTTTTATATCATTCTACTCAGAATTAAATTTCCTATCCAATTATGCTTAGATATATTTTTTTACGTTTCCGGTTCAAAAAATAACATTTTTGTCGCGAAAACGTTCGAAGGGAAAAGGCTAACATCTTAAGTTTAATTTTTTAAATTTTTATATCATTGAACTCAGAATTAAATTTCCTATCTAAATATGCTTTGATGTATTTTTTTACGATATCGGTTCAAAAAATAAATTTTAAAAATTTTTTTGTGGTAAAAACGTTGGAAGGGAAAAGGCTAACATCTTATATGCAATTTTGAATATTTTTATATCATTCTACTCAGAATTAAATTTCCTATCTAAATATGCTTTGATGTATTTTTTTACGATATTGGTTCAAAAAATAAATTTTGTTTTCCTGTTCCGATGCTGTAGGGGAGGGGCCTATCGGATATCCTCCCTTAGCGATTTTTAATTGTGGGCCGCCTATTGGGGCACCACAGTTTTTGAGTTATTACTCTTAAGCCAAGGTTATGTTAATATTATCAGCTATATAATTAAAATGAGATATTATCATCCGTTAAGCGTTATTTTGCGTATAATTTTATTGATTATTATCTAATATAAACTAATTGCTAAATATAAAAGCGCCGGTATGAATAATATATATGTATATGTCTGTGTGTTTGTGTTATTGAGGGGGGGGGGCGGGAGGGTACGTTCCTCGGGGCCTGTGATGCGTTCCTCGTTGGCTAATAGATTATCTGAGGTGATCGCATCCTCCACGTTAGATAGAATTAGCGTATCATAGAAAATTGCTGGGTCGAATTCCTCTGCCATGCCATCCAAGTTGGAGATGTTGGGCATATCGAGATCGACTTCATCATCCAATCGGAGGTGCGTCGACACCATCATCTAGGGCATAGCTTGATCGATTGGGGGTAAGCCCTCCACATCTATGTCATGCAGGATATTGTGCGCCGACTCGTTGAGGACTCATTATATGCTTGGCTGGGACGAAGGGAAACGGCTTCATCAATGTCGCTACTACTGCTTTCGGGTAGGCTCTAATATAATCGATAGGCGGTGATTCCTCCGCGTTAAGGATCGTATGATAATGTGTAAATAATGATGGATTATATATATAATTTTAATAATATAAATATTTACAATATTAAGATGATGCAACATATGTAGTTTTTTCGATAGTTTTAGCCATAAAATATTAATTTAATAATATTTTGTGTTTCCGCTCTTAGCCACGTGGAGGCAACTATCATTAAGAGCTTTTGGTCTTGGTTAAAAAACAAAAAAAAAATACCAAGACCAGGACATAGGAAGGTTTTACCCAATTGAAACCTAAATATGACCTTATGAATTTTAAGTTATTTATTACAACAGTATTTATACATAAAAAGATACAAAATCCCTTAATTTATTTAACAAAACTTTAAATTATTTATAAAGTGATCAAATAACAATACAGCATTATATTTATTAATTAAAATTAAAATATTAAAAATTTCTCGTTCTTTCTGCTTTAGCTCTTTTAGCTTGATGAGGCTTTCTCGATCCTTTTGGCCTCAAAAAACTTAATTCTCTTCCTTTTGAAGTTATTAACTTACTTTTCATTTTTTTACAACCTGTAATTAAAATATCTAATGCTTTCTCTCGTTCATACATATTTAATTCATTCCACTTATTACCTATTTTATACTTCTTAAATTCATCTGCCAAATAAAATTCTCCCATACCAACTAACGATCTTTCTAATTCGTGTCTTTGCATGATTGTAATTTCGTGTAATTTATTTATTAAATTTAAAAGAGGGCAATGTTTCCAATTTGTTATAGATTTAAAAACATGATTCATAGACTCACAATTATTGTTGGTCCATAAATCACAAATTATTTTATTTTTTAAGGGATTATAAACATATTCAAAAAGATTAGATTTATTTAAATAATTAAGAAATTTATTATAATTTAAATTTTCACAATATTTTACTAAGGAGTCCATTCTATAATTAAATGTTTCATCACTATCTGCAAAGACTACACCCTCTCTTGAAAATAATTTAGAAATTATATTATTTATCTTGGTTGCATTCACACCTTGCTTATTTTGTAAAAACGATTTAATATTTTTTTTAAGATGCTGAACACATAATAAATGGGTAGATTTTTCAAAAACTTGCTTTAAACTTTTAATTAAAGATAATTCTTCATCAGAACCGAATATTAATTTATTAATATTTATTTTATTTTTTAAAAAAACGGATTTTAATTCAGAAAAAAATTTAGAAAAGGTAGACGTATCCGAATCCGCATGTAAAAAAATTGGACCTAAAAATATAGGAAAATCACCAGTTTTAGCTCTTCTGACACATTTATGCTTAAAAACTAAAGATGTAACGTAAAGATCGCCAAGATTAAAAGTTTTATCAATACCTATAATGCTCTGATTATCAAATGAGCACATGAATTTTAAATTTTTAATCATAAAAGGAGTGTATAATATTAAAGACGGGACTTTATCTTTATCATGTATAATTACCTGGATAAAGGGGTGGGTATGAATTTGATTAATAATTTCTAACATGTTATCTGCAAAATTAGGATAAATTTTATTTGATAAATTAATTTTATTTTTAATATTGTATATTTGTTTAATATTTCTTGGTGAATTAAAAATATTATTATTTCTTATTAAATCATTATATATAAATCTAGTAGGTTTTTGCATATTTATAGAATTTTTAATATTATCAATAACACTAGCTGGAGTGCGAATATAAGAATTATCAGATTTTTTTAAGTTACCATGACTAGCGGGCCCTGGATAAGTCCCTATATATTCGACAAGAAAACAATTATAAAAAATTAAATGTGATGATTCTATCATTGGATAAATGTAACTTATTTTTCTTTTAAAATTTTTAGAAGCCTTTAAAACACTGTAATATCTATGTAAAATTGCTATTTTATTTTGATCAGGGCATGGTATGATTAATTTTAATATTCGTTTATTTTCAATTTTAGTATCTTTAAAAAATTCATTATTTTTATAAATTAAAGGTCCTATTGTATGATTTTTTTCAAGAATATAATAAGATTTTAATAATGGAGATTTATAACCAGTCCAAGGCCCACAATCATCAAAATAAAGAGATTTAGTAGAGTTATTATTATTTTTATTAATTAAATAAAATTTATTATTTTTACAACCTCCAGGTATGTTTGATAAAATATCTTTTGGATTTTTTAAAATATTTATAGCATCTAATACATTTAAAAATTTACCGTAATTTTGATTATTAATTATAATTTCATTATTGTTTAAATTTAAAATTTTATTAATTGAAAATTTTTCCGCAGATGGATCGTAATTATTTAATATTTTATTTTTAAAAAAGTTGTCACTTATATTGTCATAAGATAAATCTTGATTAAACTCATCTGCATAAGAAATTGTATTTATATTATTAAATGGTATAGATAATGTTATATCTGAATCAGAATCTACACAAGACATATCGTTATTATTTTCATTAACAACAAAAGTATCATTTTTTATATCATTATGAGGTAAAGATAAAGTTGAATCTAAATCGCCTAAATTATAATTATCATTAACACTTAAATCAGAAGAATTATTAAAAGATACATTTTTTTTATCATTAATAGGTATAGATAAAGTAGATTCTAAATCTATATCTAAATCGCCTAAATTATAATTTAAATTAACACTTAAGTCAGAAGAATTATTAAAAGATAGATTTTTTATATTATTAATAGGTAAAGATAAATCAAAATCGACGAAATTATTCTCTATTATTTCATAAGATATATCTTGTGTAGACTCATCTATAATAAAGGAATTATTGTTTTTATCATTAAAAATATTATCTTTATTAATCTTTACATCTTCAAAAGGTGGTTGGGCCGATAAAATGGGTTTTAACAAAGCAAAATGGTTAAATATATCATTTAAGTTATAAATTTCAGAACAACTGGACCACATTAGTACTAATTTAGACGGGGTTTGTTTTCTAACACCCCGTCCATATATTTTCATTGTATAGGGGTTTTCCATTAAAAGATTGCCATTAACAGGAGGATAAAAAGTAGAAATAGGTAAATTAATGGCAGCACTTATAGCGTATAAATGCATTGTCTCGGCCCAACCTCCTATTCTTAAAATATCACTTAATAAATTGTCATAACTACTTATTATAATATAATTACTAATAATGATTTCATACATGGGGTCTTTGGTGTCGTATATATGTCTAAAAAGAATCATTTCTATTCCGGCCACAAGTCTGATGTATAGATGATACTTTTCATCTCCAAAAAGACCCAAAGATACAGCTCTATATGCACAATTACCATCTGAATCAACCTTTTATAAATGAAATTTATAATTACATATGGGTAATATAATATATAAACATAATAACCGTCTTAAGTAGCCAGAAAAGCTATATTATAAAAATCAGGGTTTCGAACCGAACCGCCAAACCGGAATTAACCGTTATAATTTTCTGAACCGTTACCGTAGCCGAACCGTTATAAAGAAAATATAAAAAGAGCGAACCGAACTGTTATAAATATTTTAAACCGGTTTAAACGGTTCAAAACGGTTTTAAAAAATAATTAATTTTAAACCATTAACCTAAATTTGAAATTTGAATTTTCCTTGAAGAAATTTTTTGCCAGACTTTTAGTTTCTATTTTGCAATAAAATAAATTTGAAAAATGTCGTTTTGGCTCAGCTATATATCTCGACCCATTAATAAAAATATTTATTTGATTATCGTAGTTATTAAATTAAATAAGAAATTATAAAAATATAAATTAAAAAGATTTTTCTCTAATATTAATATATATGGTTTATGATTAAATTTTTTTTAAAATCAAATTTATAAGAACCGGAACAAACCGATAAGAACCGTTATAAATTATAAACCGAACCGAACCGATATGAATTTTTTCAAAAAAAAACCGAAATGGAACAAAACCTTTATAAAAGGGCAAAATAATAATATATAATATACAAAAATAGTAGTATATAAATAGTCATAAATTATATTATATTACCTTTAATGGATTATACCGCGTAAGTACCTGAGCTTGTGTCAATCTTAAGATCTCTTCAGCTGTTGTATCTTGTGTGCCAGTAAATTGAGGGAAACGATGGGGTAAAGACTCTCCGTAAGCCGAAATTTTAGTCAATATAGCATTGGCATTATCCTCTGTTGGACATCTAGATAATCTTAAAGAAATGATGAAAATTTTGGTATTTAGAAAATAAACCCCGAAAAAAATTATATATAGTATTTATTATATGAAATATAAAATTAATTTTACTTACTTATTAATTAATTTTTCAATATCCATAATTAATAAGGATAGTAAATTTTTAGGTAAGCCAGTTAAGGAATATGGAAGGATGCTAATGGAGTCGTTTTATTGTTTTATTTTTTTTGTTTATAAATTTAGAGTTTTTATTGTAAGAGAATAAATAAAAAAAACATTTTTTTCAGACGGATAATAATTAAAAATATGAAAGAATAATTATGTCGGTGATTTTGTATGGAAGTAAATAATATTTTCAACAATTTAGAAAAAAAAATTATAATAAACAAATAAATTAGAATCGAATAGTGTTTGAATTCGTACGAATAATAAAATCTACCATTGCATTCGATTCGAATAATTGAAATTAATTTTCTTAATAAAATCTTACTCAAATATATTGACAAATTTTTTTATTGTTAATTTGATTTCAAACAGAAGGTGGAAATTTTTTCGGATAAAATGACAGGGCTAAAATACCTGAATTTTACGAAAATATTTGAAAAGGTTAATAAGATGGGGAAATAAATGATTTGGGATATCCCTTCAAGTGCCTATTTGTCCTCTATATTTTTACCCAACATTCATAATTAAATGAATATACGGTAATTATAACTTTCTCTCCCCGAAATAAGAACACTAAAATTCATAATGTATAGTGTTGGTCGCACAGTAGGTTTGTTATGATTATATCAAATTAATTTAAATTGCAATTAAAATAAAATAAATGACAGTTTTTTTGAATGAAAACTATGATTTAAATCAATTTTGATCGTTTTTTTGAACCGATATCGTAAAAAAATACATCAAAGCATATTTAGATAGGAAATTTAATTCTGAGTTCAATGATATAAAAATTTAAAAAATTAAACTTAAGATGTTAGCCTTTTCCCTTCGAACGTTTTCGCGACAAAAATGTTATTTTTTGAACCGGAAACGTAAAAAAATACATCTAAGCATAATTGGATAGGAAATTTAATTATGAGTAGAATGATATAAAAATATTCAAAATTGCATATAAGATGTTAGCCTTTTCCCTTCCAACGTTTTTACCACAAAAAAATTTTTAAAATTTATTTTTTGAACCGATATCGTAAAAAAATACATCAAAATATTTAGATAGGAAATTTAATTCTGAGTTCAATGATATAAAAATTTAAAAAATTAAACTTAAGATGTTAGCCTTTTCCCTTCGAACGTTTTCGCGACAAAAATGTTATTTTTTGAACCGGAAACGTAAAAAAATACATCTAAGCATAATTGGATAGGAAATTTAATTCTGAGTAGAATGATATAAAAATATTCAAAATTGCATATAAGATGTTAGCCTTTTCCCTTCCAACGTTTTTACCACAAAAAAATTTTTAAAATTTATTTTTTGAACCGATATCGTAAAAAAATACATCAAAGCATATTTAGATAGGAAATTTAATTCTGAGTTCAATGATATAAAAATTTAAAAAATTAAACTTAAGATGTTAGCCTTTTCCCTTCGAACGTTTTCGCGACAAAAATGTTATTTTTTGAACCGGAAACGTAAAAAAATACATCTAAGCATAATTGGATAGGAAATTTAATTCTGAGTAGAATGATATAAAAATATTCAAAATTGCATATAAGATGTTAGCCTTTTCCCTTCCAACGTTTTTACCACAAAAAAATTTTTAAAATTTATTTTTTGAACCGATATCGTAAAAAAATACATCAAAGCATATTTAGATAGGAAATTTAATTCTGATTTCAATGATATAAAAATTTAAAAAATTAAACTTAAGATGTTAGCCTTTTCCCTTCGAACGTTTTCGCGACAAAAATGTTATTTTTTGAACCGGAAACGTAAAAAAATACATCTAAGCATAATTGGATAGGAAATTTAATTCTGAGTAGAATGATATAAAAATATTCAAAATTGCATATAAGATGTTAGCCTTTTCCCTTCCAACGTTTTTACCACAAAAAAATTTTTAAAATTTATTTTTTGAACCGATATCGTAAAAAAATACATCAAAGCATATTTAGATAGGAAATTTAATTCTGATTTCAATGATATAAAAATTTAAAAAATTAAACTTAAGATGTTAGCCTTTTCCCTTCGAACGTTTTCGCGACAAAAATGTTATTTTTTGAACCGGAAACGTAAAAAAATACATCTAAGCATAATTGGATAGGAAATTTAATTCTGAGTAGAATGATATAAAAATATTCAAAATTGCATATAAGATGTTAGCCTTTTCCCTAATCCAGTACTCACAATATCGTTATACTTACTATCAATTTAGTTTTGAAAAAAAACTTAAATAGAATATACATATAATTTTAAAAATTCCATTATTTTAAAATAACCAAATATAATTTAATTAAATAAATTAAAAATTAATGAAATTAAATAAAATTATAATCGCAATTTATTTCAAAGAATTAATAAAAAAATTGAAATATTATAATCCATTTTTTTAAAATAACCAAATATAATTTAATTAAAAATAAAAATTAAATAAAAATAAAAATAAAACCGCAATTTATTTCAAAGAATTAATAAAAAAATTGAAAAGATCTTAAAATTTCCATTTTTTTAATATATTATATTCCATTTTTTTTAAATAAATAAATATAATTTAATTAAAAATATAAATTAAAAATTAATAAAATTAAAACCGTAATTTATTTCAAAGAATTAATAAAAAAATTGAAAAGATCTTAAAATTTCCATTTTTTTAATATATTATAATGTAATGTTATTATAATATTTTTCTCGTAAAAAAAGCAATAAATCAATCAAATTACACATTAATCATTTTCTTTGTTATTTTTATTTTCAATATTATTTTTTAGCCTTTCGTATCATGCAGCCTTTCGACTTATAGACCTACCCAAAATATATAGTTGGTTACATTAATTAAAAATTGTATTTATTGCAAAGTTTGATGGCTTATATGATTAAAATATATATAGATGATAAATATCTTTATAAAAAACACAAACTGATTTTTAATAAATAAATTGTTGAAATATAATCGTATAATTGCGAAATTTTTAAATATTTCGGTCCCAAGCTTTCGCAATTAAACGGTTTTGACAGGCTGGGAACCAAGATTAAAAACCCAAGATTAACAAAATATTGGTATTCAAAATATTATATTGGGTTTAAACAATATCTTCTATTTCTTGTTTTAGTATTGCTATTGGTTTAACTTCAAATTGTTAATAAATTTAAAGAATAAAATAGTGATTTTAAAAAACTTTGTTTAAATAAATATATATATGGAATAAAACTATGATGCTATATTGTTTTAGAGAACTAAGCCTAGATATATTTTCTTATTCCTTTTTAAATGGTAATTCTGAAAAAGGTAAGAAATTGAAAAATTATCTTTGGCAATCATATTTCTATTTTTAATGTTTTACTTGACAATAAGCTTAGTGAGGGATTAAAAATGCAATTAAATTTTTAAAAGATTTATCTTCAATGCTAAGTTTTTTTCGATAAAAAATTCAGGAATTAATATTATTTTAATTAAAAAATTATAGACTGATTTCTCAAAAATGAAAGAGATTAATGAACATGTGAATATAATGAAATAATTCCTCTGCAATTAATTGATCTATTTGAAAATCAAAATACTAATGATAGTATTGTATACTTATCTAAGCATCATTCCTGTTCAACACACACTTTAAACCTCATTGCAAGTGTTGACATTGAAAAGGCAGGTAACGATGCCCATTTGAAAACGATTTCAAAAATTACATTTTCTAAGTGTTAGCTATTGTGAAAAAAACATAAGCAATCTTCAAACTGTGCATCCATTTTTAAGGAAACATATGAAGATATCTGATTAAACCTACAATGGAACTTTTTTATAACTATGTTAAATTAATAGATAGTCTTATTGGAGAATTGCCAAAAATTTGACGAATCTTGTGAATCTGAATTATAGGGATATTCAGATAACGACAAGTCGTTCATGTATGAATATTTAAATAATAATAATTTTATCAAAATTTAATTACGGTGTTAATTAAGAAATGTGATATGTATATATATGATTTTATAGATTATGGAACCGATTGCTACTGCTCTTTCAATTTTGGATATTACACTCCCACGATAAATATTATAATATTAAAACTTAAAAAAATGGCCTTAAATAAAAGTTTTGTAAGCCGCTTATTAATTCAATCCTGAAAGGCATATATAAAAGGTTTAGTTCAAATATTACTTACAAGCTATGTTTTGAATATCTTTTATTTTCAATAGATTCTAACACATCTACAAAGATGAATATATACTATCCGCAAAATTCACCCGCTATTTGAATTGGATTGGCTCTGGATAAAATTAAAGGTCATCATGCTAGAACTTATTTCTAGTTTGAGAAAAGTTCTTGATAAAGAAATAGCAGACTTAATTCTTTTATCCAACACACATACCACAATATTTTCTGATAAAGATAAATTTTTTTGATAATGAATGAAGATCCTTGTGAAGATGATCTATTAAGCTTTTTCAAAATAAAGATAATTCTTTAAATATTTTTAATAGTTATAAATTATTTAATAGATTTTGTAATATAAATAGATTTTATAAACTATAGAGAAAAAATATATTGTATTTTTAGTTAAATATTTTTAAAATAAATTTAATAAATAAAAATTTTTAAATTACTTTCTTTGTCTAAAAAAACTAATTATCCAATATTTAAAGGAGTGGTATTAAGGAATTGTAAGGTTTTATGCCCAGTAGCAATTGCATTAGACAAACTACAAGGACAGGGTGGTACATGTTATTAAGAATTAATGCCCATACTATTTGTGATTAAAAGTACTTAGCTAAATTTAAAAATTCAAGTTTGAATTATTTACCTTTTATTAAAGGCTGTCCAGCAAAAGATTTTGGGAAAATTATATCCTAGGATAATAAATATAATGAGGCTTTTTGGCATCATTATCACATCCATATTTTAAGAACCTATGGATTGAGTCGGACGAAAAAAATCCTTTAAAATATATTATTAAAGGAAGCCCTTAATGCATTACCAGTAGTATATAATCATTAATTTAGTTCAAACTATAATACCGTAAAAAAAATGTTGCTGACTTCAATAATACAAATAGAATTAAGCTGTAGATTTAAAATTATATTAAAGACCCTCTAAATACATTGGAAATGCTATATTTTTATTCTTCCATTAAAGAAATTTTTAAAATATAATAGTGCAATACCTTCATCAGCTCTAGTTGAAGCGTTATTTAGTTTTGGCATAATATTAAATTAGCCGAAGGCAAAGGTAAATGATATATTATTTGAAAAATTGATTATCTTAAAAAATAATGATTTCATTTAATCTAATTTAAATACTTTTGCATGTTTTCAACTCCTATTAAAAATACTAGTATCCTTTCCTAGTCTATGCCACGAACGGGCTAAAGCTAATAATATAATGGCCGATTATTATAAAGCACTCTTCATATAATATTTTATTAAATATTATAAATATTCTTTTCATTATACAGTCAAAAGCGTTTAATTGCATATCGCTTAAGTGCAAACACTTCTAAATGCGAAAAAACCCCGCGATTTTGATAAAAATTCCAATTATGAGAATTGGTTAATTGCGATCAGGCCCCATTTACAGATACTTAAATTAAAACTCATCCATATAAAATTATTTTATTTGTAAAAATATTTAATATATAGACAAATCATTATTGAAAATTCTTTTATTACTCCTTTTGTTATTACAATTATTTTTTCAAAAAAAATAATTTTATATGGATGGGTTTTAATTTAATCGTCAATATGTTTCATAAAATCATCACAAAAATGTATATGACAATAATGTTAATTTAATCGGAAGTGAAAAAATAAAAAAAAATTATCGAAAAATATTATTCATAATTTTTTTATATAAATTGCACCTATAACTTTTTTAATACAAAAATGATAATTTTATTATATATTATAATCATGTTAAAATTATTTTTGGATTTAGAAATTGGTGCAATTATCTATTATTTAATTAATATGCTCTAGTCTACACCTATCCAATGCACATTCGTAAAAAAATTCAAAATTTCTTCTAGAAGTTGCCAATTCATTTTAAAAACGCTTATCAGATCAAAAAAATCAATAATCTTTTTTAAATCGCGAAATTACTATCTGTCATACTTTTGATTGCATTAATAAAACATTATGTCAGTAGTTGGATTTGATTTTGGTTCACAAAATTGTTTTATATCCATAGCAAAGGGTGGTGGTATTGAAACAATTACTAATGATTATAGCCTTAGATATACCCCGTAAGTATTATGATTATAATAAATTATAGGATATTCTTGTTTTACCTTCAAATATAGGTCTTATATATCCTTCACCTCGAAAAATAGATTTATTGGCGTCAGTGCTAAAAACCAGGCCTTAACAAATTACAAAAATACAGTTTTTGATTTCAAAAATTTTTTAGCAAGGAAATCTGACGATGCTTTTGTAGAAAAAGAGTTAAGAACTTATGTTTTACCATTTGAAATTGCAAAAGGACTAAAAGACTCAATTGAATTTAAAGTTAGTTATCTAAGTCCTTCATATTTAATTAAATGATAATTCCTATTATTTACACAATTTTTTTCATACTATGTGATATGCTTATTATATTTAAACTTAGATATTTTAACATTTATTTATATATCATTTAAAATAATATTGATAATATAACAATGATTTTTTTAGCAGTAAATTTATCAAAATTAACAATGTTTTTATTATCAAAAACAAATGATTTGGGCAATATTTATAAAATATTGAGCAGTAAATATTTTTTAATGGTAACAAAAATTGTTTAGTATTTATTTGAAAGTTGTTAAGTATTTATACATATTACTTTTTATTATGAACTATCAAGTATATTTTATGAATTGAATTCCAGTTTATATTGTGCCATTGAGCATCTAATAGAAAATAATTTTAAAATGTTTTTATCTAATTAAAATTACATAATACTATACAAAACCCTTTTTAGCCTTTGAATTTTGATCTCAATGTTTTTTTCCCTATTGGAGTGTCTTTGATGGCATGAAGAGATGTACAGTAGAGATCTGCAAATCATGGCCTGATTTATAACCCCTATTTTAAAAGAAAAATTGATTTGAGCTGTTAAATATATTACATTTTGTAAATTATAATTATTTATTTTAGGCTGTATTCAAAGTGGAGACAGATCTGTTTTTTTACATCCATTCCGTCAAAAGTCAATCTCATTAAAAATATATTGATTTTCATTTTTAAAAAATTATAAGTAACGTTATAACACTCTATAAAATTTGCCAGATCAAAAAGCCAAAATGTTTTGACTTCAAAATTTGCCGGATTCGTTTTTAAGATGGAAGGTATCGGAACGGACACACTATGAACATATATATCATTTTTAATTAGATTGACTTTTGATGGAACGGATGTAAAAAAATGGATCCATTTCCACTTTGAATGCAGCCTTAAAATTTTTGCAAGAAACAAGGCTATAATTTTTTTATTTCTAGATTATTTTATTTATAATCAGAAAAATATTAAATTTTTTATATTTAAATTTGGGCCAGACTGGGCAGACAATTTTTATTTTGGAAAAAGTAAAAAAAAATTATTCATGATCGGGTTAAGCAAGACAAATTTTTTAAAAAAATTTTTTGACTCTTGAAAAAATAGGTCCAATTCAGATCTATAGTGTACAGCGAAGAAGTATCCCAGTATTCAAGGGAAAAGGTGATCCTTTCGATTGCGGGTCTTACAGAGCTATTAAACTCTTGGAACATGCAATGAAGATATTTGAGAGGGTTTTAGAGAAGCAACAAATTAAAATTGATAAAATGCAGTTTGGTTTTACATCGGGAAGCAAAACAGATGCAATTTTTGTGGTGAGGCAAATACAGGAGTAGTATCTTGCAAACTATTATGTGTTTGTTGATTTAGAGAAAGCATTTGACAGGGTGTTGCCTGAGGTTACTAGATGGGCCTTAAGAAAATCAGGTGTGGAGGAATGGTTGGTTATCGCAGTGATGGCAATGTGTGTAGGAGCACAAACAGCAGTATGGATGGATTAGGGTGATAGTGAAAGCTTTGAGGTGAAAGTAGGACTTCATCAAGGATCCATGCTGAGTCCATTATTATTTATCTCAGTAATGGATGTGGTGGCTAGAGAAATGCATGAAGGACTTCCCTGGCAGCTATTATATGCAGATGACCTTGTATTAATGGCAAACAGTGAGGAAGAATCGAGTGATAAAATTAGTATATGGAAGGTGACTATGGAAGCAAAGGGTCTGAAAATGAATGTATCTAAGACAAAGGTAATGATTAGCAGGGAAAAGCTAAAGATGGAGGAATTCGGTAAGTGGCCTTGTGGTGTATATGGGAAAGGAGTTGCTAGAAATTCAATCCAATGCACCAGATGCCAAAAATGGTTACATAAGAGATGTAGCGGGAAAAAAGGAAGTTTGATGTTAGAAAGAATGACTTTTATTTGTAGAATATGTATGAAAGGGATACATAATAATGATAATGTAGAAAATGGTGGTCTGGATATTGGCAATGGATTAACCCTAGAAAAAGTGGATAAGTTTTGTTATTTGGGTGATATGCTAAATGCAGATGGTGGTGTAGTTTGTTGTTAAATGACTAAGCCGATTCGGCTAAGCCGCGACTCGAGTCGAGTTTTTAGTCATAAAAAACGGTTTAGTCTCAAGTGGCTCAATGAGCCGTTTGAGCGACTTACAGATACAATTTTTTCATACTTATATATATACAGAGTTTGCGGTTGTTCTTGAATATCTTATTTTATCCTTCTTTGAGCAAATTCTCTTTTAAAATGATATTTATTCATTAAAAGCTAGCGGGTATTTATAAAAGTTCTAAATAAATTTATTTGCTTAAAATAATTGTGTGCTTCAATGGTATTGTTTTTAATAAATAATGGGCCTCATGGCTAAGCAAGGATTTATATATTCCTTTACATGATAAAAATATCCTTACAATTTTGAACTGATATCTAAAAAAATGTTCTTAACAATATCCATTCTTTATGGCACATAATTCTGCTTATGGTTTCCTTAAGCTAACATTAATCATTCAAAATATTATAAAATTTCACTTTTGAATATTTTTACATAAATTATATTATATAATATAATTCATACATAGCTTAAATTAATTTAATTTACATGGTTTCCCATTCAAAAAAGGAAAAGTTTCAATCATAAAAGGAAAAGTCCCAATCAAAAAAGGAAAAGTTTCAATCATAAAAGGAAAAGGTCCGATCAAAAAAGGAAAAGGTTCAATCAAAAAAAGAAAAGGTCCAAACAAAAAAGGAAAAGTGTCAATCATCAATCAAAAAAGGAAAATTCCTAAAAAGAAAGGAAAAAGTCCGATCAAAAAAGGAAAAGTGTCAAACAAAAAAGGAAAAGGTTCAATCAAAAAAGGAAAAGTGTCAAACAAAAAAGGAAAAGGTCCAATCTAAAAGGAAAAGTGTCAATTGAAAAAGAAAAGACGATTTAACCTGCACCCCATGGTCCAATGGGAAATCCCTAATTTGGGACGCAACCTGCATCTCTTCCTTTCCCTCATTAATTAATTCAAACCCTCTTACTAGTGGGGAAAATAAAAAAATTACTAAATACTAATGGCAATTTCTCACAATCAACATATTTTTTTAAAAAATTTTAGCACGTAAAATTTTTAACATTACAAACGAAAAACGTGAATCAATTTTTCTTAAACAATAACTCCAATTAGAAATTTTTAAACATAATTATTCCTGTTTCTTAGGAACATTTTTACTATAAGCTCTTTTTAGAGCCATCAATATTTTTAAAATATACATTCACTTTTAGTATATATATATATATATATTCATTTTTTATTTTTATATTTTGTTTACATGTTTTAAAGATAAATGAATAATAATTAATAAAAATTCAAAAAAAAAAGAAAAGGAAAAGGTCAATCAAAAAAGGAAAATCGTAATTTTTTTAAAAAAATATATAAATTTATTTATTTTTGTCATTCCTTCTTATTTTATTTCTAACTTTTTGCGATTTCTTTACTTTATTTGTATCTTTTCTCAATTTATTTTTCTTACTATATTTTTTCTTAATTTTTTTTTCTTCTCATTGATAATTCTTTTGTATTTTAAAAAATAATTTATAAATTTAGGTCCATTTTTATATTTTATTTATTTAAATTTACATTTTAAAATATGCATTGTAAATATATTTTTCCAAAAAAAAAAAATTTTTAAATGTCGACAGTAGACATTGATAATGAAAATAATTATGGTACAGATAAAATAAAAATTATGATTTTAGAATTAATTATAAAATTATTATAATAATTTTGCTATTTATTTAGTAACGAGCTACAGCTATCTCTTTTTTAAAAAATGTAGCACGCTAAAGCTATCGATACTAAAAAAATAGATATGGAATAACACGCTAAATATAGAACACTGCAAATTATATATTTCAAGTTCAGGATTGGAACAGAAAAAAAATTTAAAAAATAGCTTATCTTCATTCTCTTTGATTTCTCTAAATTCTATCTAATTAGACATTTTGTTAATATGTTGAGGGCCTGTGAATAATTTAAATCTAAAGATATTTAAATTAGCTTTTATTTGATACTCATCGATATTTTGTGGTGATAAAAATATTCCTGACCTCCCAAGACCTAGACCCGCCATCTATGATATTATTATTACAATAAAAAAATATTTTATTACCTTTTATTTGATACCCATATCAAAAAAATTATTTTTTACACCCCCCCCTTCCCCTTACCCCCAAATCAAGTCATACCCATCCAGACCAATAATGAAGACTTTCAGTCAAACGATATTAAAATTAGCTTTTATTTGGGTACCCATATCAAAAAAATTATTTTTTACACTTACACCCCCCCCCCCCCGCCCTATTTACTCCCCAGACTAAGTCATACCCATCTAGACCAAGAATGAAGACTTTCAGTCAAACGATATTAAAACTAGCTTTAATTTGATACCCATATCAAAAAAAATTATTTTTTAACTCCCACCCTTACTCCCAGACCAAGAATGAAAACTTTTAGTCAAACCATATTTAAATTAGCTTTTATTTGATACCCATATCGATACTTAGTGTTGATAAATATATTTCTGACCCCCCCCCCCCTCCAGGCCTAGACCGGCCAATTATGGAGGAGAGATTGACCTCCAGTTGAATAGATCTTTTGATTAGCTATCGATTGATACCCTATATTAAAAAAACAACATTGAAAATTAATGAATAACAATAAAATTGAAAAACGAAACGCGCGGAAAACGCTTTTTAAAATAAGATTCTTCTATATCATGGTTCAAACGTGATAATGCCGTATAGTTCTTTATCCTTTAAAAAATGAAATTTTAAAGGGATCTCTTTAAATCCCGTGAAGATCCCGGATAGTTATGATCCCTTTAAAAATTACGACATGTAATGATGAAAAAAAACCTAAAGAATTGTTTAAAAAATGGACCTAAATTTATCAATTATTTTTAAAAATAC